ATAGGAGTAATAATGAAAGTTCAGCACGCGCAAAAGCTTTTTCTACTATCAAAACCAACAATGTTGGACGAACAAGCTGCAGGTGACACAATCTGCACACTTGGCAATAACGAAATATCAGAGGATGGAGACCTAATAAAAAGAATGGTCTGCTTTTGGCATGGAGCCGGCTTATAGAAGCGTTTAAAAAACCGACCGCAAGTAACTTGACCAGCTTTGAAAGATGGAAGATCAGTTTACAAAATGTTATCAGGATTGATGTTAAAGCCACAGTTTCTGTCGTATTCAGGTGATTTGGTTTAACTGTGGAGTGGTTGTACTATTTGCAGTCTGTATTCTTTGTCTAAAGTCGTAAACCAATAAATAAAAACCAACTAGCTTGTTTACCTAACTTATACAGTTAAGCGTGGCTTCTTAACAGTCATGGACCCTGTGTGAGTTGTGTTTGTTTTCAATAAATCTTTATGTGTGTCATATCCTACCGGAAATACTTTGAACATATGATACACATTTGCAATTTTTAATATTAGCATTATTGATCAGCTACACTATATATTTGAACGAAATGAGGATGTTGAAAATAACTTGACTCCGACTTTAATTATCTTTCGAATGATTATTATTAATGAAACAATTCATTTTATATACTTCCAATCGATAGCACTACAAAAGACGAAGTCCTAACTTTTGCAAAAAAGCTTGTATCATTTGATTACAACTTAAATTATCCTATGCAGTGGTCTGAAGTTCCAGTATCTCGAGTAAAATATTGTTGTTTTAAATATTGAGGCCTACTACAATTCGCAGAAAAATTTAGGGGCAGAATCAGTACTATGCGCAAGTAGGTGAGAAGATGACAGAGAGACCCTTACGTCCTCTGGTCAATAACCGCTCGAGGTTCTGCGCTATATATAGAGACGTCGCACGATTACCACGGTCGACTGTCAAGTGGTACGAATACTAAGTATTCACCAAGCACACCAGCAATGGTTTTCAATGCATGTTTGCTCCCACTTGTTTGCTTCCCGTTTCGTCTGACTCCAAGACTAGACCTAAGGCCTATACCACTCTGATGACTTGCTAATGAGCACGAAACATCGCTGTCTGCGGTTGGTCATTATTACAGAGACAGAAAGCAAACATGTCAATCCAGCAGATTCCGTTCGTTAAAACCAAAAACTTACACAAGCGTTTAAAGTTGTACGCCACTAGTTTTTGCAAAGGTATTGACTCTGCTTGAAAAATATCTCTTGGACCATTTCGTTATATTCATTAAAGAAAGCTAGATCGATTACTATTTTTATTAACGATAAACGACCAATGTACTAGTTATCTTTATTTCGTAAGCTGTGCCTGTGATCGAACGCTCTCGAGACAGTTCAAGGCTTTAAGGTATTGATACTATTTTTTACAAAAACCAGTAATTTAATGTTTTTTCGCGAAACATGCCCATTGATGTATACACCTTAAAAAACAACTAGTGTTTATGCGACATTTAGGAATACATCGCATAAAACCTCAATCCGTCAATCAAAACTGGGCCAAGAACATTTTATGAAAACGAAGCATCTGACCTGTTTTTTTCTGTTTTAACATTTATGAAAAATAAATCATATACCAAGTTGATCGCATTTTAGTACAGTGCTTTTCAGAAAGCTCCCTCAATACTCATTTTTTGATTGGTTTAGCAAGCTAATGTCCAGGGCAATGAAACTGAAGCATGAATACTATGTTTTAGCGTAAATTTGGCAGATGTATTTCATTGTACATTAAGGTAGACTCTTCCAAAATAAGAAGATTTATATGAAATACTATAACGTTTTAATGATTAGTTGTTGAGTTACAAATCGTCGGTCTCCGCACGTACAGGCGTAAATGACAAATAATCTAAAATCGAGTTACGCCGTAATTTCACAGATTTTTTTGTAGTCTCTTACTTCACGAAGTGACGTAGCTGTATATCAGTTCGCTGCTAAGAATTAAAATTTTCAGAAAATTGCCTAAGTTATAAAATTCCAAAAACAATTTTCACGTACCGGCTTAAATAGATTTACGCCTCTGCGTTAAAACTGGTTCTACATCACTTTAGTCTAACAAAAAGAAACAGCAACGTTCAGACTGAAAAATCAGTATGTCACTTTCAATCTCATTTATTGCTGATTTTCGTTTTCTAGCTCTCCTGTAAAATTTGTAAAATGTTAGTTACGCCGGTACGTGCGGAGGCCGACGAGATGACTCAATATACAAAAACGCTCTCCAGTCGGCTACCTTGAAAGTTAGTAATTTTGTATTCTAGGGTTATAAAGTGGCCTTGAGGATCTTGAATGTATCACACAACAACCTATTTATAAAGTTCAAGGTCGCACGAGCCGCCATCTTGAAATTTTTAATTGTTATTTTCACATTTGAATATGGTACTCATGCGTCAATTTGATCATTACGAATTTCAGCTTGCCAACCTAAATCGTTCAAGAAATAAATGGATGGATAGTATCTTACTGTTTTCCCAAAAGCCCAAAATTTTCCCATTTTCGAATATCTTAAGTATTTTCATACTATGGAACAAACACTCTCTACTTCAAATCTACATTGAAACACACTAAGATACAGAACACGTAATATTAAAATCAAAGTATTGATCCACTCTGCTCACAATAAAAGCAAATCATTACACAATTATAATGGCACCTACTTTTGTTTTTAATGTGAGTACTCTGGATCAACACTTGGTGCCATCCACTCATATAAAAACACAAAAGTTGAATATTCCGAAATAGGTGAATTTTGGACAGAAATTCATACTTCTGACTTTTAAAGCAAAGTCGGTATTGGAGTAAAAAAAATGTAAAATACATATACTATGTTCTAAAATATATAATTACCTACAAATATTTCCTATACGCAATCAACTAGCAATTTATTTCCACTTCCAGATCTACCTTATAGATCCTGATTGTTTTCTAATATCCTCCTCTCCTAACATACAGACTGAGTCTGTAAGGACCAATGTAAGGACCTTCCGTTAATAGGCACCGTTATCAAACTAGTTTACGTAATACGTAAAAAAGAATTCACTGCAAACGTAAGATCCACCGAGGTTGACATTTTCGTTGACTATATTAGACATAAAGATAGCATTCTTGTGGCAAATTAAGACATCAATCAAAATGCAGTTGGCGTTTTCGGCCGGAAAACGTCATCCGAAGACCAAGCAGTTGGCAACGCTGCCTTCCTGTCACGTAACATCTACCAAGAAAACGATCTTCATATTTTTTCGACGCGCTTGAAATTAAATTGCAAAGTGGGTGGCGATTATTAAATAATTTATTGCCATCATAAAATGTGAACTGCCAGCGAATAACAAACAGGCCTCGGGCTATCAGCGCATACTAACTTGATATAGGAACACGGGTTAACGCAGGGTAGACGCGGTTATGAGGAGAAATCATTGACACTATCATTGAAGCATTCATTCTAGGCGGTAAATGTTATTTAAAGATACTATTAATATTCTGAGGAGGATGATTTTTATTGTTGTGTATACTTCGTTGTATGTACGTGCGATTTATCTATATTGCTTATAAGCAGCCAATGATTGTGAAGTCTTCTTTATGAAGCTTGCCGTCTGTTCACCGCATGCTCTTAAGCATCTAAAAACGTCTACACTGTTGAACGTTCATCAGTGTTCTGCGAGTGTAAACCTGACCACCGTCGACCAATGTTTTAGCCTACCCCTATTATGCAAATAATAGAAAAACATACCATAAGTACAACATATCATAACTGAATCAGTCTTTCGTTTTTCTTATGCGCCCAGTCCTATTTTACCTCATCAAACAACGCACATCTGCCCTTAAGTCTGATCATATTAGACGAAAATACCCCTGTTTTGCGAAATAATTGTTAAGTCTGCTTTTATTGCTGCAAGTCGTTCAAGGGAGTATTCAAAATATGGACGCATAAAATGGGTACACCAATTTTTGTGGAAAACTATTCGACAACAAAGAATGAGAAAACGTGATTTTTGGGATTCAATCGAAAGTGTTAACAGAAAAAAACTCTTCATATCACATGAAAAGATCCGACTGATAGCAAAAATGCTATGGCCGAAAAACGAAGGCAAACTGCAGGTTTTGACACTTGTTGGTAATGCGACGATAGTTTCTCGCAGATATTTGAAATTCTTCAAATTCATAAGATTCGTACTTCTCAATAACCACAACAAAATTGGAGTAAACACCTGTTTTCCGGCCATCACGACTAGTTTTTTGAGCAATATACAGGGTTAGTTCAAAGGGCATTTCATAGCAAAATACACTAACCTCGCCGATAAGAATCGCAAACCATTCCGGAAGATAAATGTTATTTTTATGCAAAAAAGGATGGGCTACGTTTTTTCTTCTAAACAAATTCAAACATTTCGTATTTGCGAATAATTCGCAACAAAAGATGATAGACACGTCCGCTTTGTTTTAAAATGTGTATAGTAACGTATGTTTTTCGAATATCGTAGCCCATTTCTTCAATTACTCACAAATACGAATTGTCTGAATTTGTTTAGAAGAAAAAAACGTAACCTTTGTTTTTCGCATAAAAGTAACATTTATCTTTCGGGATAACACATGTATTTTGCTATTAAATGTTCTTGGAACGAACCCTATATATCATACCATAAATACAGTAAACTAGTAGTGATGGCCGGAAAATAGTATATAGTTAATGGTTTTGGGATAAACAATTAGACATTCTCAAAAAACTACTTGACCAATATGATCCAATTTTGTTGCTATTATTTAGAAGTATGAATCCTACAGATTTGACGAATTTCAAGTAGTTGCGTGATATTGTACAAACTAAACCGTATGGACAATCCACTCATTTGAGTTTGAAATAATTTGTCAAGCGTGTGGATGCGCGTTTACGTGTATGAGGAGTTATTCTTTTGTATCTTCTCTGTGGGCTGACTACATTGGTAACCTAAATTCTATAGCAAAATGACTGACTTGTGAGCTTGTCACAGAAAATCACTCAAAAGTCATTCACTCGAAAAATTAAACCAAAAATTTCCTAAGTCTGTTTTACAAAATACGATGTAATGACAATGAGCGATTACTACAAAATACTAAACATTCCAAGAAATGCGGCGAAGGATCAAATCAAGAAAGCCTATAAGCAGCTTGCCCTGAAATGGCATCCAGACAAAAATCCAAACAATCCTGAAGAGGCTAATAAGAAATTCAGAGAGATATCTCAGGCTTATGAGGTGTTGTCTGATCCAAAGAAAAAGAAACATTATGATTTGTATGGAAAAGATGGCTTCAGTTCTAGACTAGATAGAGATGATGACGGATTTTGTGATTTTGGAGGATTCGGCTTATTTAACTTCAGAGATCCTGAAGATATTTTCAGGTAATTGAATCATTACTGGATTTTCTACTCAATGTTTATAAGTACAGCAGGGATCGATGTTTAGATGCACAATACTAAAAAGCTGTAGGTGAGATAAGGGTTCAGATAAAGGCTAAGTTGAAAAACACTACTCTTAGCGACACTTATTATTATTATTTATTATTATATTTAACATTTTTTTGGCCTAAGCTATGTCGCCTGAGGAGGCATCCATGGATTTCGACTTGGTGGCTTAAGTCAATGTCACATGATCAGTATTTACTCACGCCATACCACTATTTGCTGATAATTCCGTCAGTATCAATGAATTTCTACGTAATATTATACATCAGTAATTACTGACATCCAGACTACACGATCAGTAATATCACATTCCATGGTACTACCTACTCCCTACTAGTCCTTATCACCAACCTCCATTGGTACCGCACAATATGTTATCGCATCTGATAATGTGTAGGGGTGTAGGCAATCTTAGTAGCAGGTGCATCTATTTAAATCAAAATCCACCAAAAACTGTGAATTGAGGTCGACGGCGTCATTGGGCCATACTTTTTCTAAAACAACTTGTCAGCAGCAAACTCAACAGATCAATGGTAGCCAATTTCTTTTTCTCCGTTTTTAACAATATTGACGTGGATGTGGAGAGTTCATTTTTCTACTCGTACTTTCGCGTTAGTCAGTTATTCCTTGTTTTTTTTCCAAGAGAAATGATCCCTTCAGTATATCCTCTTCTGCAATACATATATGATGGCCAGTATGAAATTTTCGTCACAGAAAGGTTGCGCACTTAATTTATGTTCATTCCTGTTGAATGTTTGTGTCGGGATTGCTCTACTCAGCTATTATTCTAGATAGTCAAGGTAATATCTTCTCATCTGATGGGAAAAATATTCTGATACGGGTTTTTGGATAATATTGCTCAACATTTCTGTATCTTCCCAGGCCAAAATTTGCGTCAAAAAATGTTTAAACATTTTTTAGAGAAATTCCAAAAATTGTTTTGGTGTTTGAGAACGTTTCCTTAAGTTGATAGTTTTTGAGATATAAGCGATACACTATTTGATATAATGTAGCTGGCGGCCGTCCATCTTGTTGCATGTCTCTCGCAGAATGTACACTGAGCGCGCGCTTGGTTAACAATTAAAAAACAAAGGTTTACAACAGCAATACCTCCTAAAATGCTCTTGAATTTTGATAGTGGATGTTTAAAAAATATTGAGGAAGTTCGGCAATATTAAAATTTTTGTTTTGTGGTCGAAAATGGCATATTTTGCACTTAAGAACACTTTGACTGGAGAGAAAACAAACATTTTTTGGAATTTGTTTAAAAAAATGTTTTTGACGCAAATTTGGATTTGGTAATATGCAATATCATTAAAAGAGGTCCTTTTTAAATAAGAGTACGTAAAAAATTCGAATCCAAATATTTTTCCCAACAGATGCGAAGATACTACCTGGAGTAAGACCGCCGATCAAATTCAACCGAATCTATGCGACAGTCATTGAAAATTTAGCCTCTTGAGACCGGACTAGTATATGAAGGTGTGCATTACAGATGAGGGAGAATTTGGTTAATGACAAACTTCGCCAATCAGTTTCATTTCTCAATGAAGACGACTATTAACACCTCACACGGTTTATACAATTTTAGGGAATTTTTTGGTGGGAGCATATCAGAGATATTCGGTCTAACAAGCCCATCAAGAAGGGACAGCTCTAGAAGAGGCAGCAATCTCTCTAGCTCTGTGTTTGCTCAATTCAACGATATTGACAGCATTTTTGGTGCTGTAGAGCGCTCTTTTGCAGGAGTGCCTAATCAAGGCACTTACGTAAGGCAAATGTCAACAGATACTCAAATTATCAACGGAAAGAAAACGACAACTAAGAGAATCATTGAGAATGGAAAAGAGATAATCGAGAAGTATGAAAATGGTGTGTTGACTTTCAAAAGCGTCAACGGAAAACCAGCTAGCATAACATATCGCTAATACTCGTGTAGAATAAAGTTGTGCAGTTTGAATTCGTGGCAATAAATTTTCGATAATTAAATACAGCTATCTATTCATTATCATACAATAAACATATTGCATATCAACATCTCAAAATTTTTTGAGGCATCCATTATCTGTGATCGACACTTATGCTGTTACCACAAATTATGAAAACCAGATTATTGAAGGAGTTATTAATAGGGCTGGGGACTCCGAAATAAGTTCTAGAAACCTCCTTGTAGAAGGTCGTCTACGGATGAACTTGACATAGGGAGCCTGAGACTGATACGCGAGACCTGTGGCATAACACAAATGTAGAAAATGTGTATTTTGCTGTGAAAAAGCAACGAGGGGCGCAACGCACCTGCTCGATATTCTTTTACAACCCTTAATTTGAATATTTTCAGGGAAATAGTGACTGTGACAGATTTTCTGCATGAGTGCGATGTCCCGAGCCTCAGGCTTGGTCAGGGATGCAGTCGCCGCGCGGACTTGTGACGTATAAATATTTGTCCAAGAATCTGTAATAGTCACAAAAAATGGCATCAAGTAAACATTTTAAAAATTATATCCTCATCCCTTACAATGAGGTCAGTTTTTAAAACAAACTGATCACTCGTATTGCTATAATTTTTTACATTGGAACACGTTAAATAGATTAAGTCGGCTGAGTGATAATAGTGAGGTGATTATTTGGCAAAAAATAATAGCAGTGCATAAGGTCCAAACCAAAAAATAGCATAGCAACACCACATCGTAAAGTAGCCTTTCTGACTTCATATGTTTGTCCTTCAGATACCCAGGTCAGCCATTTTTGTCCAAGAAAATGGCATTGCTGTCTCTTGGTGTACAAATTACCTTCCTAGACCTGAAGCGTGAGACGTGCACCCCCCTAGAGGTCCACCCACCACTCTTTAATTGTTACAAGGGCATTAATTTGCTCTCAAAAGCGCTGCTTAAGGGTCTAAGCATGCAGTCGACACACAATTTTTAATCGCCGACAAGGCAAAGCTGTCGAGCTGGTCTATCTGAAAATGGCTATAGAAGCGTTCCCCTATCAAAAGGAAATGATAAATAAAATGAACATCATTGGTGATTAGGTCAAAGTCACCAGATGTTTATAAAACAGTTTATTTGTTCAGTGAGGAAAAGGAGTTTGATGAGGATGAAAAACAGATGCTGCTGCAATCAGCGAAAAACTCAAGCACATCTACAATACACAAACCAAAAATTGAATAACTTTATAACATGAAATAGTGATGTTTAATCGTTTTCTACTCAACAGCAAGAGCAGTGCTTGACTGCCATTTGATATTTGCATTATTTGTCAGCAACGTTAGTCCTGGGCGGAGGATCACCACAATCCAAGGCAAATATCAAAACTGAATGAGCAAAAATGGCTGCTGAAGTCAGACGTCCAGATCACCTTTCATTAGAGTCCCAACACCTATGCTAAAAAATCATACTCACAAAGTTGACTCGAAGGATTGCATTGGTTTAACTCAATTAATCAATTTTTCGATCTTCAAAAGCTGATATCAATTTTAAATCAGTTCTATTTTTATTTTGTTTCATACGTTCAAAACACGAGGACAAATATTGCTCAATTCATAACAGTCTGCCTCCTTTGTAAAGTTTATAGCATTTTTACGATTAGGTAATACGTGCCAAAATTTCAAAGCAACACTTTGATGTCTAGATCTAAGGCTTCCTGAGAAAAACCAAATAATTACTGTTACTAAAACCAGGGCATTGCGACATATGTTTACAGTATATAGTAACTTGTGGTTTGTTTTATCTGAAAAGGTTAACTTTTGACCCGATATCTGCTTTCTGATAATTTGTTTCATATTTTTATTCTATGATACACGTATGATGCCAGATTTGAGTGAAAGAGGTTGTAAGGGTGCCCGCAGGGGAACTGCAGCCCCTCTGAGAATCCAGTTAGACCTTGAAACTTGCATATTTAGCATGGTTTTGTATACAATTTTGGGGATTTTTAGGATGTGCCCCAAATGTGAAAATTTGCTCTTCAAATGCTTTTCGGGGAAAGTCCGCTTTTACAGCAAGTTACCTTTTGCCGATGATCACCCCCCCCCCTCGATAAGAAAAATTTCTGCGGTCGCCCATAAGAGGTCGTAGTATCACACTTTCTTAAAAGTTGTTATCGATTTATCATGCAAAACAAATAATATAGGTAGTACTTCCTGTAATGTGTTTTAAATGTTTAACGTGAAAAGGATAATAAATACTTACATTTTCACAGGTACTTCTACATGATCCAGTAGCTAAAGAACAACATGTGAGATCTGAAAATAGATAAATTTATTTTAAATACACAAATTAAACACATATACCTTCATATATCATAAAAATGGCGTCAAGTAGATTAACTCCATACTTCCTACGCCTTTGTTGGAGCTTTCAGAGAAAATGGATGAGCCAAGTCGTATCAAAAGGCGGAATCGAATCGAGATTAGCTAGGTTCACTTAGGTACGATGCATTTTCGACCTCCACATGTCAAACTATATAAAATAAATCTATTATATTCCTATTAACATGACAAATGTACGAAAACATGTGTGTGTAACGCTTCCTTTCCGCAAAAAGTCCAGAAAAGATGGAATGCAATGAAGATTCCAACTTTTCTGCACAATCACAGAAAGGGGGTTACCATTAGCTTCCGGTAGCTCAGTCGGTGGCATGAAGACATCTACAGGCGTGTAGCTGTGTGTCGACCATGGCATGGCTAGAGGATAGAAGAACAAACAGAACACAAAAAATTAACAGATTTTATTTAACAAAAAAAGGCATTTTCATTACATTACAATTTTACAAAAATAACAAAATAAGTTTTACATCTTTGGCGCTGCTATAACGCTATCGACTTATCTTTCGCTGGTCCATTTTTACTCGACTGAAGCCAGGATGGCCAGGGGCTTGAAGGGGAGGTCCCAGTTATGAGGGGTGACCTCCATATAGTGGCTTCACAACCAGTTGTAGGCGAAGTTAAAGGCGATGGCGCTGCCAAGGTACATGCATCGGTGAAAATATTGGCCAAGGCTAGGCAAAGTGAAATGGAAAGAGAAAGGGGGTGGCCCCAATCATTTTTGTCCTATACGGACACACATTCTAGAAAATTCTAGCACATGGTGCTATATAACCTTGTGCTACTGAGAAGAAATTTCTAGCCGTTGTTCGATCGGCGGCTCAAGTGAAAAGGAAGCGCGAGGAAGATCGCAGATCAGGAACTCCGCATCAAGCGCTCCAAGCGGAAAATTTTCCAAGCAAAAAAGCTAGAGATGGGATTAATGAAATGATAATCGAGAAGTGATTTAATAAATACGATCGGACGGTGAAACCGTTACACTCGCCCCAACTTAACCAAAAAAAAAAAAAAAATCGAAGAAGCATTTAAGAAATTTTTTTTTTTACTAGGAAATTGAAAGTTATCACGGAAGGACAAATGTACAACCATTCGACCAGATAACAAGTAGTAAAAGTAAGGTAGAAACAAAAATGTTAGAAGAGAATTGGAAGAAAAAGGGATAGCCTCAAGTCTACCAAACAAGAGGGATGGTTATAGCACCAACTCGCTGAAAAGTACACTGAAGTTGCACTTAAAAAAAACTATCATCATATGATGAAAAACCCAAAACATAAAACATCGTCATACCTAAGACGAGAAAAATAATAAACCAAAAGCTTCAGAAGTAGTCCAAGCACGAATCACAATGGCATCCAAAATGCACGACTGACTACTAAAAACTTCAAAACTAAGTAAGTACCTAAACCATAAGAGGTACTAAAAAAATAATAATCTTTCTCAAAACAATTGCCAGATTATCTCGCAATACTCCAAACCCAAAAAGATTATGATCTACAGTGATATTTTAAACCAATATCCAATATAAAAAAACTGTGCATTACTATTTTCAAAATATGAAAATCAAAAGAAATTAACAAATTCTATTAAGAATTCCAGTTATATAACAAAACAATTTACAAGTACTAAACCAATGAAAACTTGATCACGAAGGTATTTTAATCAAAAAAGATGTTAACTAAGTGCAGTTCTGATTCCACAAAAAAATTGTCGGGCGCCAGCAGTCTGTAAGACTACAAAATAATTCAAAATATTTTCAGAGAATTAAAGTATATAAGGGACATTCATGAAATATTGAAGTAAGATTTTCAAAGTCAAAATATAGTTTAAGTTCAATCAATGAACAAAAATTCAAGAGTAAGTTCAATCAAAATTTTCGGGTCATGTGACAACATAAGAACCAGACCAAAAAAAAAAATTTGAAGTACAATATAAAAAAGAGCAAAATAAATTTCCAAAAAAACTAAGTGCAACACAAGTGCAACTGTAAATCTAATAGTGTTAAAATCATAAAGTGAAAGGAAATATTAAAGCTATATGAGCATGATTTTATAAAGGGTTCTCAAAAAAAATTTAAAAGTAAGCAAAATATTAAAAGTTTCATGAGTAATAAATGAGAAACGAAGTGAGCATATGTAAAATGCAAAATAGCGAAACGAAAATCACAAGATATTTTATTAAATCATGATACATGAGAGTAATGCCGCAAGCAAAAATTGTATGCAAAAGACTACGATATATGAAGGTGCAAAATTGGAGTTATAAAAAAAATCTAGTGAACAAGAAATAGAAATAAATATGATAGGTAAGAATTCGAATTTTGATTTAAAGCAAAAATATGAGAGAAAGACAACTTTCTAGGGTCACCATAGGTGCACTCCAAAGCCCTAGACAAGAATGTCTATAGTCTATGGAATATTCTCATGTAGATCACTGATATCATCAGCGCACTTCAAAGTCTACACTGAAAATAACCATATCATTGTAAAATGAAAGTTAAGTGAAATGAAATATTACAAGATTAGAAAAACTATAATAATTTACCAGTGTAAAGTATGAAAAAAGAATTACTATACTGAATCTATAAGAATTGGCGATTACTTCAAGTCAAGACAGAAATTGAAAGAAATAAGAAGTCGGAAAAAAACTATGAGACGAGACTATCAAAACAAATGCAATAATGCAAAAGCAAAATCACCAGATATTTCAAAATCTATAGCGAAACATGAAAGCAATGTCGCAACCAAGCTCAAGACTTAGCAATACGCACAAATGTGCACAAAGGCTGAAAGCATATATGAAAAATCTCAAGAAGGAATTGACAATTACTTCAAATCAAATTGAACTGATTGAACTGAACTGAGACATAAATAACTTTTTTTTTTTTTTTTTTTTTATATACTCCAACTACCACGAAGGCCTAAGGCCTAAGCACCCATTGGGTACCGTGGGGCTATGGGGGATACATCGGAAAGGGGGGACGCCACACGGACTCTGGCGAGGGAACACGTGTGCATGCAACATGCACACATTCTGGCTCCGCCTACGAGAACCGCCGGGTGGTACCTCCGCGTTCGACAGTCAGAGACCATCTACCACCTACGGACAATCACAACATCCATGGCCAAGAGAAACATTTCTCCTGGGACGGGACTCGAACCCGCACAGCGCACGGCGGCTGATCAGGAGACCGAAGAGTCTACTACTGCGGCCACCGTTGCTGCCTAAAACAAACACACAACATCCATGGCGAAGGCGAGATTCGAACTCGCGGCCCGGCCGACCGGCTGATCAGTAGCACGACACTCTGACCCACGCGGCCAACCGAGGCCCCTATATCAAAAGTGAGTTTTACTTATACGCCAGAGGTTTCAAGAGTTTATCAATACGCACAGATTTGCAACTAGGCGGAAAGCATATATGACAAGTCTCAAGAAGAAAATAAAATGCATATGAAGAAAACACTTTCAATTAAAGAAACTGTGGATAGTACAAGACCCTCAAAGGCATACATCGCAACGAATCTATGTATCTATCCAGACTACAAAATACTGTCAAAGTTCAAAACCACTCAAAAATATGTAAACAAACATCAAAAGTTTGAACCAAAAATCAATGTAAGTCTGTGCTCTCGAAGAAAGTTATAATGAATTCAAAAAGAGGATACTATCAAAAACTTCAAAAGTAATAGACTTCAAAAATAGAAGTACGTAAGTATGTAAAGGAAATTCAGAAAATATACGCATAAAAACATTATAAAATATTATACACAGTATTTGTCACATGATTTAGATCGGGAATGCAATTTAAATTTTGAGTACACTCAGAAAAATGAAATATTCAAAAGATAAAGTATACACATTAAATTGGAATCAGAAAAATAATGATTACTTGTAAATTTTGTACATGGTGGACTGACGTAATGGTTCAAAAGGTTGAAAGAACAACGATGACTAATGTCCAAAGTAAACATTCACCTGCCTTTTACAGGAAATTAGCTTAACAATTATCAAAGGAAATTCTTTTCCGTTCGCATCTGTACTTGGAAATAAATATAGGAAAACCTACTCGCTCCAATGTACAGATCGAAAAACTCGCCCCCTTCGATTGAGCGGAAATATGAGTATTGGACAAATTGTAATATTTCAAAAGGTTGAAGGATCAACGATGACAAATGTCCAAAGTAAACATTCAACTGCCTTTTACAGTAAATAAGCTTAGCAATTATCAAAGGAAATTCTTATCCGTTCGCATCTGTACTAGGAAATGAATATAGGAAAACCTACTCGCTCCAATGTACAGACCGAAAAACTCGCCCCCTTCGATTGAGCGGAAATATGAGTATTGGACAAATTGTAATATTTCAAAAGGTTGAAGGATCAACGATGACAAATGTCCAAAGTAAACATTCAACTGCCTTTTACAGTAAATAAGCTTAGCAATTATCAAAGGAAATTCTTATCCGTTCGCATCTGTACTAGGAAATGAATATAGGAAAACCTACTCGCTCCAATGTACAGATCGAAAAACTCGCCCCCTTCGATTGAGCGGAAATATGAGTGTTGGACAAATTGTAATATTTCAAAAGGTTGAAGGATCAACGATGTTAAACGTCCAAAGTAAACATTCAGCTGCCTCTTACAGCAAATAAGTTTATTCATTATCAAAGAAAATTCTTGTCCGTTCGCATCTGTACTAGGAAATAAACATAGGAAAACCTACTCGCTCCAATGAACAGACCGAAAAACTCGCCCCCTTCGATTGAGCGGAAATATGAGTATTATTACAAATGATAATGATTAAGCAAGAATAATTTATCTGAATTTTAGAATATGAGAGTATATAAAGCATAATTATACACAAAAGCAAAAGTTAATCGCTGTCCGAATCAGAACTCTCACTCATTACATCATTACGCAAAA